GCGAAGCATCTACCTAAATTTAAACTAGGGATACCACGAGTAGAGTACCCACTAGTTGGGGTTTTATTTATTCTAGGGTGAACAAGGTAATAATAATAACAATAACAATAATAATATGGTCATAACAAAGGTAAATAGGCATGGCTAAATAAAACAGTGACAACGCGGGAATTTAAATAAAGCGATAATGCAATAATTTAAATCAACATAATTTTACAAACTGGGATTCAATATGTTCAAGGATGATGTGACTTGCCTTGCTCAGGGAGAACGGCCTTCCGAACCTTCGGCAACGACCGCAAACCACGCTTCGGGAACCTCCGGAACGACGAAAGCTACGCGAAGCACACAAGCAAAGCTACAAGCCTATAAAGAAGCAATAACAACACATAAAAAGAAAGCACAGGGTTCTTTAGGTTATAACAAACATTAAGAGACTTGAACGGGTCGATTCGGAGCTCGTATGACCAGGATATGATCATCCGAAGTTTAATGCTGTTATATGGAGATTTGCGAATTATTATAATTAAGCTTTGCAATTATAAAACATGTGTAAGCGCTAGCCTGGAAAAGACAGGAAGGCTGCGCCGTTGACATGCGGACCCCACATGTCAACCTAAAGGACCGCGGTAGACCGGATACACAGAGACGGTCCACGGGTCGACGGAAGCGGACCCCGTGTGTCAACCGAGGCGAGTGGCCAACAAACGGACTCCACTAGACACCACACGGCCTGCACACGTGGAAACCACGCGGCTACCGAGCGGGCACACTAACACGGACACTACACGGTCACCACCCGCACACGTGAACGACTACCGACACCGGTACACGGGTACCGGGGTCGACGACCGCACAACGAGCACGGGCGACACCGAAAGGGCGAGGACGGGGCAGCGAGGGGAGGAAACCTTACCACCACGCGACGAGGCGTGGGAACGACAACGACGAACGGGCGCGGCGGAGACAGACGGGCACAACGGAGACGAACGGCGAGGGGACGGCTTCGGCGGCGATCCTTGGGCGAAGGCGAGACGCGGCCGGCACGAGGCTTGACGACGCGGAGCCGAGGACGAACACGAGGACGGGGCTGCAGCGACTCGCTTGACGAACGCGGACGACGGACGAGAACGGCTTGACGGAGGGACGAACGCCACGACGATCGGGAACGACGAGAGGACGAGGGCGACGACGACCGGGGCCGGCGAGGAGGCGACGAGGACAGCCGGCAGCGGCTGCACGGGGACGAGGATGACGTGGAACACGCCGCTATGATGACGATGACGGAGGCGGCGCCGCGAGACGACGAGCCGGCGAGAGGGAACGGTGAAGACGACGACGGACACCGGCGGTGTTCGGTCGGAGGGGAGGCGAGGCCGAGGACGACGTCGCGGCTGCGATGCCGAAGATGATGGGGGTGTGGCCGACCGGTGCACGGGCGAGGAGGGACGGGCGGCCGAACAACTCCGGCGAGGCGGATGGAGAGGTTCGCGGCGATGGCGTTCCGGCGAAACCGAGGAGTGGACGAGGTGGAGGGCTACGTCACCATGCCGAGGGAGGGGACGGCAGCGCCGGCTGATGCACGGGCATGGCGAAAGGGGCAGCCGGAGGAGATGCCGCCGAGGAGGAAGGAGAGGCCGGCGCGGGCGACGGCGTTCCGGCGAAATTCGGGCGAGGAGGAGGTGATGCCGGGGAAGAAGGCGATGCCGCGGTGTCGAAGGAGGAGACGGCGGCGTCGATCGGCGCACCGGCGATGAACAGCAGCCGGCTGGAGGGAGTACAGTGGCACCAATGCCACTGGTTGCCGGCGGGGGCACCGTTCCGGCGAGTTTCCGGCGAGGAGACGGTGAGGCCGGTGAAGGGGACGGTGTTGCAGAGCCGAGGGAGGCGACGGCACGGCCGGACGATGCTCCGGCGAGGAGAGGAAGGCGGCTGGAGGTGGCCGGCGCGAAGGAAAGAGGAGGGCGACGGCGGGAACGGGGCTAGAGACCACGGGGAGGCTCGGGATGGGGTTAAAACGGTAGAACGGAGTGCGGGGATCCCATTTTATATGAGAGAAGAGGGAGCCGGCCACGGGGGAGGTCGGAACGGCGGCGGAAAAGCCGGCCGGCGGCAATGGAAGGCGGCCGGACTTGGCGCGGCCGTTCCCGGCGATTGGGGGCGGCATTTAAGGGGGAAATTAGGGGGAAATGAAGAGGAGTCAATGGGGATTAATTTCCCCTATTTAATTTGGGAATCCCATGCTTGAATCGAGCGGATTTAGAGGAGGAAGCGAGCTAGGGTTCACGGGAGAGGGAGAGAGGACGGCCGGGCGGGAGGAAGGGGACGACGCCCGGCCTGACGCGTGGGCCCCACGCGGTCGGGCGCGCGTCGTCACCGCGCGCACGCGCGCGGCACGTGCGGGAGGGGAGCGGCTCGGGGGCTGGGGCGGCTTGGGCCGGCGGCCGGCCCAGGAAGAGAGGAGGGAGAGGCGGCCTGGGCCGGGCAGGCCGGGAGGGGAGGGGAAGAGAGAGGCAGCCCGGGAGGGAGAGGGAAGAGGGAGGTGGGCCGAGGGGAAGGGGGCCCAAGAGGAGGAGGGAGAGAAAAGAGGGAGGAGAGGAGGACTTCGGACTGGGCTTGGCCCAAAGGAGGAAGAGGAGGGATTTTTAGGTTTTCTTTTTATTGAACTTTGATAATTGTTTTTGTTGTTTAATAATTATTTCTGGTGCTCTGAAAATTCAAGTAAAATTTGAGGGCTCTTTTTAGACCAAGGAGAATTTAACAAAAATTCTCCGGGCCACATTGGAATTTTTCTTGTACGTATTTTTAGTGTTTGCCAATTTCTTTCCGAATTTTAATTAATTCTATTATTCCTTTTAGAAAATAAATTTTAAATTTTGGGATGAATTTATCAGGACGTGACACTTTAGGAGTGGCGTCACGCCCGGCCGCTTCCCATAAGAAGGGCGATCGCCCTGGCATAACGCCGGGGGCTACTGTCGGTGACATGGGACCGGGAGTATCATGACTCGAGGCTTGAGGCAGACACAATCGCCCACGTGGCCTGGCACCCTCGGGGGACGTCGGGCCCGAGGGTGATGTGTGCGCCCACCTCTTGGTCTTCCCGAGGGGGGGGTCGGACCACTCCAGCCTCGCCCCCGAGGGGCGAGGCGCCCCGACCCCTCGCGTTTTCTACTCCACGTGTATGGGTTAGGTGAGCACAGCAGGGCTCACCTAACCGCATTTATTGCGCCTCGGCTAAGCGTGTCACGCCGCACGAAGTGCAGTGCAGTGCACTCGATTATCCGGTCTGTGACCAGTCACAGACCGGTCAAATCGCGGGTTAGGTGGCGACAGGCGGTCAGACGCATGCTTCGCCCCATCCTGTCTAGACGAGAGCTTCTAGGCACTCGTCCCCGGCTGGAGCTAGCGTGTTACATCCCAGAGATGACACGTTAGCCCCGATCGATATATGCCAGGCTTCATCCTAACCATTACAAGCAAGATGTTGTTTGAAGAAGGGCAAACATGCACGTTGCTGAGCCGACGTGTGGTGGACAAGAATGACCGATTTGTGACCGGTCTGACACTGCTCATGTCGTCAGCACACAGCCACCTTCCCACGACGTGCCCGCCTCAGGCAGAAGTGGAGGTAGGTATGTGCCGTCCCGTCAGGAGGATGTTCGGAGGACGACCGTGCAAATCTCCGTCCATTTATGAAAAGAGAAAAAGTCCAGTTTGGAAAGGGAGGGGTGCATGTGGTATCCCCTTGAAGTATAAAAGGAGGACCTTGCCCATAGAGAAAGAGGTTGATTCTTTCCAGATTCAGAGCCTAGAACGAGGGAGAGGTCGGCTCACACTTTGTAGCTCCTTCATACACAGATCCACCAAAACACAGGAGTAGGGTATTACGCTTCTCAGCGGCCCGAACCTGTATACATCGCCCGTGTCTCGCGTTTCTTCCTAGCTGGCGATCTTTCCACATACCGAGAGAGCTTGAGATTTCACCCTAAGCCCCCGGCCGAACCGGCAAAGGGGGGCCTGTGCGGTCTCCCGGTGAGGAGCCACGAGCTCCGTCAATATAGGAACATATATAATTTACAAATAACTAAAATTTAATATTAAAAATAATTAATAACTAACACATATATAAAATATAATATGAAAATTCAGAAATAAAAATAAATAATATTGGAAGAAGAGTATAGAGTCTATATAGAAATACAATTTACAGAAAATTCGGAATTAAGAAAAAAAATATTAAAAGACGAGTCTAGAGTCCATATAGAAATATATATAATTTACAAATAACTAAAATTTGATATTAAAAATAATTAATAACTAACACACATATAAAATATAATATGAATATTACACATTAGTAGTTTGTAAGGTTATTGCAAAATTTAAAATTATGTTGTCATTTTAATATATTTGAATAATATAATGAGAAAACATATATGCTATTATATGAGAGAAAATATAATGATGCCTACCATGCTAGTTAGTAGTAAATACGGACACCCGTAACAAGTTTAGAACTTATACCAAGTAGATTAATTCTTCTACAAGGAATCTAGGAGAGAATAATTAGCAGTAAATATGGACACCTGTAACAAGTTTAGAACTTACACCCAAGTAGATTAATTCTACTACAAGGAATCTAGGAGAGAATAATTAGTAGTAAATACGGACACCCGTAACAAGTTTAGAACTTATACCCAAGTAGATTAATTCTACTACAAGAAATCTAACTAGTTGAACTATCTTCACTTTGGCAAAGATTATCAAGTTTGCAAATGGCTTTGTAGTGTTAGTGCTAACTTGCGTCCTTGCGATTTTGTATCGCGAGTCATGGCTGACTAACAAGAGGATGACTCTTTGTTATGTTCATCAGTCTATTCAGAAGTTCATAGCTGAGCCTCAATAGAATGGAATTTGCTGCCTATACCTGACAAAATCTATTTAGCTGATAGACTCCTGACCATCTAATAGAACAGATAATGCATCCGTAGAGTACATGACCATAAAAACAGTCAATCAATACCAGTAAAAGTCGCATCCTTGAATGATTTGCTCTACAGAATTTTTATTACAGAACCGATTGGTCCCCAAGGCCCAACTGCCATTACACGCTCTTAAAAAGATCACCGTGTATTCCCATTTCGGAGTCCAATATCGTTGCCACAATTCTACAAACAAGAAGCAACAATCAAGGTTGGCTTGACCAAGATACATCTAGCAGACTAGCACATAGTACTTACAACAAGTAATGTACAATGGGTTTAAAAAACCGAGCTGAAGACATGATACGCTGAGATTATGGAGCTAAAACCAAGAGCAACGAAAGCTAAGAATGCCATGGAGGCTGAAGCATTGATAAGTTTGGCAAATTGATCCACTCCAAACCGAGACACCCAAACATCATTGCGAGAAAGTGCTGCTGAAGATGCTGACAACAGGAGGTAAGCCAATATCTGCAATGAACATATATAAATAGTCATGCAACGAAATCCTATCCCATGCATACAGTTCTCAGCCAAGATGCCAATATGTGCAGAACCTCAGAGATAAATGTTAGGACAATGCCAAACAGGAAGTTAGAGAACAAGTGCAGCATAACTCCAGCTGATGAGATATAGCTTATATCAAAGGAAGGACAGAAGAATGAAGTGTACAACTTGATCTACAAACTCTATGCGCCTGGCACGATAGAACCAGCAACATCTGATCTACAAACTCTACGCGCCTGGCACGATAGAACCAGCAACATCTGAACTAAGGATAAAGTGCACAACATAATCTACAAATTTTACGCGCCTGCACCAGAAGCATCTGAATTCCACATTTTTTTAGGCAAATTATATGATTGACTTGACAGGTACATGAAAATTTTCTTACATTGCAAACAGCACTGTGATAATGAACTGTAAAATTGAGTCCTCGATTCAAGATTGAATATGTCGTAGAGAAAAATGATCAACTATAACATAAAGTTCATGAACAACCAAAGTCCATCCCCTGCATGCAGCTTACAGCTTACTTTACCCCAATTCATACAACTTAAGAATTAAGATAATCTAATCCTGCAAAAAGTTGACCACTGTCTCGGAATCCAAGCTTACAACAATTTGTAACCATAGACCAATCAGCAACAGATTAAAGCTCACACATAATATGAAACCGAAAGGACAGAAAATACATTCAGAGCTGAAGTTCTTGCCTGATCCATTGCGAGATTGAAGTACTTCCCTGATGGGTCTCGAATTATACGTCTCCCCGTGACAAAGTAGTGCACTTCCACGACCAACTGGAACCCCGAGTAAGTAAAAGCCAACACACTCGCAGAAAGTGTATACCTGCATTGCAGAAGCACACAACTTCCATCAATAACAGAAGCTGGCCGCCAGAGGGGGATTTGGCAAGCATCATGGTACGGCGTTGAGAGCGCAACCTGTACTCGTTGTAGCGGCGGAAGGAGTCACCGGACCAGCCCGGCGTGGTATCGGCGGCCATGACGGAGAGCGAGACCAAGCAGAAGACGGCGGCCAAAACCCTGAACCCTAGCTCGGCCCTCCTGAGCTCCGACCGCCGCACCTTCTCTGGGACGCCGCCAAGAAGCCATCTCTTAGACCCCACGCCTCCTCCTCCACCACCGCCGCCGCCGCCGACTGATGCGACGGCGGCGGTGGTGGTGGTTGCTGCTGGTGCGGCCTTCTCGGGCACCGGCTTCGTCTCCGTCCCCGCGTGGTCCTCGCCGGAGAGGAGCTTGGCAATGGTCAGGGCAGACTCCTTCTGCGGCGATCCGGTTGGGGACTCCGCCGCTTCCGCGGCCTTCGGCGGCGTCGGCGGCATCGCCTTCTCCGTCTCCGTCTCCGCCAGCGCAAGGGCAAGCGTCATGTTCTCCGGTTCTCCATCCGCTTCCGACGCCTCCCGCTCCAGCATGGATTCCGGGGACCCCGGTGCTGGGGGAGAAGGCGGCAGTGATGGTGGTGGAGAAGGCGGTGCTGGTTGATCGGGAGCGGGAGCGGGAGGGGGCGCCGCCCGCGGCTGTGGAGTTCGGTTGTCGTGGGGGAGGGGAGGAGACGGATCGGCGGTGGGAGGAGGGGGCGGTGCCGGGGCCTGCGAAGGAATGGGGCGAGAGGGATCGCCGGAGTGATTTGGTGACGGAGTAGTAGGGGCGGCGGCGGAGGCAGGAAGGGGAGGAGGAGGAGGGGTTGGATTTTGGGGTGAGATGGGAGGGGGATCGGTTGCCGGGTGCGGGGTGGGAGGGGGAGGGTGGGATTGGGCATCATCGCCATCGGTGGCCGGCTCCGGCGGCGGCGAGTGGATTGGGGAGGCCATTGCTAGTTTGCTCGATGGTTGTTGAGGTCGCTGCTTCGGTTGGTGTTCAGTTCAGTGTAGTAGCCCACACTGGTCGGCAGTAGTGAGAAGAATCGGGGAAAGGGAAGTGGGGAGGTGGTCAGGTGGACTAGGTTTCTCAAGGGAAATGGACGTACGAGTACGAGAGCAGATTTAAGGCCCCCTTTGATCTGTAGAAAAAGTGTAGGAAATTTGAAGTATTTCAATCCTATGGAAAAAATTTCTATGAAAGCCTTTGAAACAAAGGATTGAATCATATACTATCCTTTAAAATTCCTATGGAATGGCTAATCCTATAGAGATTTTGGAGGAAAGTTAGCAAGAGGTCCAACCTCTTGGAAAAATTCCTTTGAGTCTATCTCTCTCATCCGATTCCTGCGTTTTTTCTGTGGTCTAATCAAACGGTCATTCCTGTGTTTTTCCTGTATTTTCCAATCCTTTGTTTTACACCTGCATTCCTGTCAGAATCCTACGTTTTTCCTATTCCTCCGTTTTTCCATTCCTGCGATTCAAAGGGGCCCTAATAGTATAGCCAATTCATGTGACGCGCTTACGGATCCGGACCGATCCGGGGCTAGGGAAATCCCACGTCATACGTCCGATTTACGTGTAAAACTAATCTAAACTGATTTTTTTTCTTAAATTACTAATTCAAATCATGATCCGATTACACCATTAAATTCGTTGTAATTAAATCTTCAAAACAAGATCACACATGGATATATACCGACGAAAAAAATAGCTTATTATTGAATTATTTTTAAATATTACACGATGTTCCACCAGGTATATCGGAATTGTTTCACTAAGTAGAGCGAAAATGTTTCACTCATTTAAATCAGGTGTTGTTTCATCTTATATAAAAAATAATGTTTTAGCAAATAGCGAAATAATGTTTCAGTTCACTGCAACATTAGATCTATACATAGTGAAACATCGTGAGTACACTAGGTGAAACATTTTTCTGCGGAAAAAAAAATAAACCAAATTCCCTTAATAGGGGGGTTCCAAAATATATGGGTTTTTTTGTTGCAATGAAATGTTCGTTCACTACAACATTAGACCTATACATAGTGAAACATTGTGAGTACACTAGGTGAAACATTTTTTTTTGGAAAAAAATGAACCAAATTCCCTTAATAATGAGTTTCCAAAATATGTGGGTTTTTTGTTGAAAAAAATATTTTAATTCACTGCAACATTGAATCTATAAATAGTGAAATATTGTAAGTATACTAGGTGAAACATTTTTGTAGAAAAAAGGGGAGTGGGTGGGTCCAACAGTATGGACGTGGGGGAGGGACGCGCGGGGGAGCGTCCGATCCGGCTCCCCCGCGTCGGGCGCTCGGTAACGAGCATTATCGCAACTACTAGCTCCAATTTATCTATAGCTCATTCATACAATAGTTACATACTATACTATTATAATATATGGTCCCACCTGTCATACACACACTGCGTCTTGAAATCCGTGCTATAGCTAGCTATAAATCTGTAGCCCGCTGCTCTTCTCTCTCCTTATTTATCTTCTTAAAATATGTTTACAGCTGGCTTATAGCTTGTACCTGCTCTGAACAACTCCTTGATGTAAATTGTATTGGACGTATCCTTGAGCGTGATTTACTAGTAATAAAGGATCAGTAAATTGAATCGTGAACTAGAGATGAGAAAAGTGCAAGTTAGTATTTGCAGCCAGAGTATTTCGGTAGAAACTTGACGGGTGTTTGGAAAGCGCATGTAAGGTTTGTCGTCTCAAAATCCCAATCATTACATTAGCCTTGCATGAAGCATTGTCCAGGTTTACTAAATAAGAACTAATATTCATGTTACATTGGATTGCGTATTTTATAGCTCTATTTTTTAATCACGCACTCTAGTCAAGTTTTTATAGTACTACTATCAGATTGTTCAGAGTGCAAGCTCTTGACACTAAAGTGTGCTCACCTGGTTGGCTGGTTGTTGTACCTTAGCGGAATATACTCTTTTTCTTTTTCTTCTAAGAGGGATTCTAACTCACCAGAGTCACCAAGTGTGCAGGATTACCACAATGTACACCTTTTCCCATTGGTCTGTAAGATGAACTGTACAAATTTTAGAAGGGTTTATGCAACATGTGAACTGCAACAGTGAAATATTCCATTATAAAAGCTAGAGATGTCTATGACACTCTGGCTCATGTTAAGGATGGGTTAGTCAAAGGTGTTGAAGTCTTGAAGAAGCATGGGCATGCAACGTATACTTCCTTTCAACTATGCACTGATATAGGGATATATTCATATTCTTCATGTACAGCAGATATGAAACCTGTATGGTTGTATGACAAGTAGTAAATTATTTGCAACTTGGTGGATTTGTACACTTGAAAACAGTAGAGGCAGGTTGTTTGTATTCAGGTATGCTGGCTGGATCAACAGGTCGAACCTCACCGGGCTGAAAGAATAGGCTGCTATGCCTGCAGAAATGATAAATGATAGAGATATAAGGATATGTTTCCCCCCAATCACTAATAGTGCAGAGTATACATGAGCAGCAGTGAGAAAAGTTTCCACTAACAAACTCCCTAACATTGTTGCACTGTGTTTACCAGAAGTCCTGCAGATAAAAACTTGCAAAATGGAGTGGAATAAAATGAATTGCTGGTTTTTACCTCCGGAGGTCTAGCCCTATCAACCCAGCTTGTAGAATTGACAGGTTGTCAGAATCTGGTGAAACAATGACAACGGTATCCCCCGAGTACTGAGTCTCTAGTATTGACATGAGCTGCGTTACCCGAACAAATACATCTGCAACACTCTCATTTGGTGTACCATCACTAATAGGAGGTGGCTTGATGTCTGGCGAAATACTGTCTGATGCATACACCTAAATCCATAGCAAGAAAGGGAAATTCAATGAGAACAGGATGGAATTTACCAAGCAAAAAAATGGCTGATCCATAAACCGAAGAAGCTTCAGAAAAAGAAACATAGCTCAGTCAATATAGTGCAAAATCTGCAATATCAGTACTGGCGTGGAAGTGTATATTAGTTCATTCCCTGATTTCTAACCAAGAAAGTATATATCTATACTTATCAAAGGTACCAATCTCACTGCCTATTTCCCAGTAACCTAAAACCAAACAGAATAAACTTGTATGTTTGATTCATGAATCATGATAAAGTGAGTACACGAGGATATCCATTCCTCAAATTAGTTCTAAGAATGAACGGAACTTATATCCTATATATTACATTGTTCATTGTTTGTTGAGATATTTAACTAGCAGGTCGAGAATACTCCTGTCTGCGAAAACACTTAAACACTAGTCAAATTAACATATTCTATTAATCTAATACTAGTAGCAGTGCTATCAGGAGCCAAAGATTTTTAAGCCCTTCATGGCAGTTGGCAACCAGTATTTCACTAATTGCATCAATTCTCAATCTAGCACCCAATGTCACCTAAAACCAACATCTTCACACAACAGTCTTGTATCACTCTGCTGTGCGATTATATTGTTAAAATGACCAACGGTTCTTTTACTAGTTCCGGTTATTGCAACTTCGCGTTCCACGAGAAAGTGGCAAAGATGCATCATTCGGGTGAAGAATACCTCAGGCAATGTTTCTAGGCTCTTCCCTTCAAACGCGCCCAGGCCACGCGCATCTAAGAAGCTGTACTCGGGTACAATGTGGCTACAAATCAAGCAACCAACACATTAATACATGATCACGAATTCACAATTCACCGGCCATACTATACTACTACTATACTAGTGTACTCGTGTGAAGCCGTGGGCTAAGAGAGTGCGATTGAAGAAACAGAGATAGGCGGAGGCAGGCACCTGCGGTTGATCTCGTTGGCGGCGGCGATGATCTCGGCGGCCTGGTAGGCGCGCTGGGTGATGGAGGGCCATATCCAGCAGTCGTCCTCGCAGGCGCCGAGGCGCTGCAGCTCGAGCGCGGCGCGGGCGGCCTGCCGCAGGCCGGCGGGGGAGAGGCCGCTGTCCACGGAGGTCTTGGAGACCGGGTTGGTGCGGACGACGCCCTGCCCCTCGTACACCGACTCCCCCGCGCGCACCAGGAAGTAGCGGTTCGCCAGCCGCGGCGGCGGCATGCGGAACAGCCCGCGCGCCGAGGCCGCCGCCGGGGCGAGCAACGGGAGCGGGAGCGGGAGCGACGCGGATAGAAGCAGGAGCTCGCGTCTGCGGGGACAGGGCGAGAGGGCGGCGCGCGGCGGTGGCGGTGGCGATGGCGCCACCGGCGAGGACGCCGCGGTAGCGGGAGAGGCGGCTTGCACTTGCATTTCCCTTCTCCTGTACGGATCCGGAGGAGGAGGAGCTCTTGCGGTCTTGCCACCTGGACGGTAGTCTGAAAATATCCACCTAGTCGGGCCGGGCCAGCTGTTGCTGCAGCCCGGCCCAATAGCTTCTGCTTGAGTTCTCCACTGCGTAACTTTTGACCTTTGACTTTCGAAGGATTGCCTTTTGGACTCACCACCAGGTTCAACCAAACAAATTACTCCCTCGGTCCCTCCGTTTTTAATTTATTTACCACTTTTAACCATGCATATAAACCTATATAATCAACTTTTTTTAAGTAAAATGACCAAAATACCAACAGTTTTGTGCGACATCTAGAATTTAGAAGTTCCATCCAAAACCCATCAAGAACAAAATAGCAATCACCACCCTGATCAGCGCGTCGGGATAAGAATTTATAAACTTTATTAAAACTGGTCGAAACTCGAAAATAATGAAAATGAAAAACGGAAGTAGTGTAATTTGAAATTTTAAATTAAACCAAATTTTAATTTACTCCGGTAGAGTAACATCAGATGTAACTACGGATTTGTCTATGCTCATCCTTGTCCATTGTTAGGTTTGCGAATCAAATTTGCTACCACCATACAAGTATACATCACCCGATACATCTTGAGACGAATTTCAAACAATTAGCGTATTATTTTTTTAATAAATATAGTATATAACTTTTGGCCTTTGCACCAACTAAAAGTGCACAGAACTCATATTTAGAGACACCGATACATGTTTTGTGAAAATTAACATTGACTCGTATGGTTATAATATGGAAACATAACTAATAAACTCTGTATTAATTCAAATATGCTTATCAAATCCAGTTATTATTGAAGGGAGAAGTGTGAGAGGGGCCATGATAGATGAAGATTAAGATTATGTAAAGCACATAAAACAAGAAAGACATTAGCATATAGCTAATTAAGTTTTAATTATTATAAACTTATTTTAGAGCAACTTTCAAATAGAATTTTTTTTTCACAAACGTACCATTTAGCAGTTTGAAAAACATGCTAATGGAAGCCGAGATAGAATCTACTCCATCTGTCCCAGTATACTCGACGTTCTAGCATAGTTGAGCCAAATCAAGCCTAGGTGAAAATTACCATATAGCCCTAAGGGTATGCTCAGGCCCTGTTTAGTTCCAAAGTTTTTTTTTCAAACTTCCAACTTTCCATCACATCAAATATTTCATACACACACAACTTTTCTATCATATCGTACCAATTTCAACCAAACTTTCAAACTTCAGTATGAACTAAACACAACCTCAATGTATAATGTCTACTTGGGTAATAAGGTAGGACCCAATATTAGTATATGGTAAGAGAATGCATTAGCCTGGATTCCACTGTCCCACTCGAATATATGGCATGTGAGAGAGAAGAGGAGAGAGAAGATAAAGTATTATTACTTTATTTTTATGGGTAGACATTATGCATATGGCTAGCTCATCTTAAAGACTAATATATGGACTACTATCACAATGTATAAAGGGCCACTTTAGAGGCTTAAGACCCCCTTCTATTGCTACATTATGGCTGCCCTAACTGGAGTACTAGTTACTTTAAATAGCCATGATGAGTAGTCATTTTAGATAAAAATACACCGGCCGTTCCTGCCACGGTGGAATCATGGACGAGCTGATGTTCCTGATTACCCGGTTAGTAAAATTTGAATCGTACTCTGCTGCGCCTGTCTCATGTTTATGCTCCTTACTAAAACGTCAAGCATTGTGGGTCAATGGACCACAAGAAGTAAAACGTCAAATATATTGGGAAGGAGGAAGTACATCTTATTGAGTAGGGTGTAAGTGTAACTGCGTCCTCTCTAAGTCCAAAAGGACAATTTCTAAGGATGAATGCACTCATCTAAATTTGAAGTGGTTTTTAACTTTGTATAGTACGGATGGTGCAAGTGGATAAATATAAACAGGTGCTAATTAAAATTAAGAATTTTGAAAGCAATTAGAGTAATACTAGTACTACCTGCCAAAAGGCGCCCCAACATTGTGGCTTTGCAATCAGGCGTGACACGGCACGTGCCAATGGTCAAACAGGACGTGAACACATCATTTTGTTGAGCCCAGGGCCCAGCAAGCCAAGAGCGTACTGTACGTTAGATAAGATGGGTCAAACTCTCGTCTGACAACGTGATTCGCTCGCTCTGTTCTCTGATCTCCCGCAAGCTACAGTGCCAACCCAAAAAGCAAAACTACCCCCTACCGAAGTCTACCAAAAAGTAGTACGGTTCTCTGATATCTTTCATTATTTTTGAAATTTGAATTACTACTCCTCCTACAGCTAAATTTTTTTTTCTCACATTGGAGTAGTAGTACAGTACTAGTATTTGGTTTAGGTTCTTTTTGTTTCGTAAATTTCTCTATACATTGGAAAATATTTGGATGGGCGCCCTCCGGTTTGAATTGCGAAGGAATTTGCGAGCTTCATGTCCAGGCGTCCAGCTGTCCAAGCCTTTATGTACGGGGGCCACCTGCCCGTTGCGCCTCATCCTCCTCAATCACCGTTCGACTCGCTGCTTCCCCTCTTCTTCTCCCCCAAACCAAAACCCTCTTGACCCTTGTCGTCTCCGCACCGCAGCCGCCGCAGGCGAGGCGATCCACATGGCGGCGGCCGACACCGACACGTACGTCACCGAGGTGGCCTTCGGCGACGCCGTGATCACCACCACCGTGACGTCCTCCGGCGCCGCCGTGGAGGGGTGGCTCCGGGAGGTCCGCGCCGCGTACGGCCCCGGGCTCATCGTGGGGCTCGACGTCGAGTGGCGCCCCAGCTACGGCCCTGCGCAGAACCCCGTCGCGCTGCTGCAGCTCTGCGTCGACCGCAGGTGCCTCATCTTCCAGCTCCTCTACGCCGACTACGTCCCAGGCTCCCTCCGCCGCTTCCTCGCCGGCGCCGCGGACTGCTTCGTCGGTGTCGGCGTGGACAAGGACGCCGAGCGGCTGAGCGACGACCACGGCCTCACCGTGGCGAACACCGCCGACCTTCGCCCCCTCGCGGCGCAGAGGCTGGGCCGCCCGGAGCTCAGCCAGGCCGGCCTGCAGGCCGTGGTGCGCGCCGTCATGGGCGCCGACCTCGTCAAGCCGCAGAGGGTGACCATGAGCCGCTGGGACGCCTCCTGCCTCTCCAACGAGCAAATCCGGTACGCCTGCATCGACGCCTACGTCTCCTTCGAGGTCGGCAGGAGGCTGCTCCGCGCCTGATACTGATAGATCGTCGATCGAGGCGGTCGCCGTGGCACGTACCGCAATCGCTCGCATCCTCTCTGCCTAATTCTACCTAGATTAGATTCCAGTTGCTGCTGCATTTCGCTCCTGCTCTCTCGTAATGTGTTAGGCTACCTAGATTCAGTTGTTGCTGCATTTTTCTCTTGCTCTCTCGTGATGTTAGGCAAGGGTTTATCAGATTTGAGGTGTTATGGGTTTTATGTTTAGTACTGAAGGAATTGAAGAATCGGATGAAAAAACGTTGTGCCGATCTTCTGATCTAGACTATGGTTAATGAAAATTTCCAGTGCCGATCCTTTATGCGTTTTTAGTGCTGTTTTTTTATATCTGTGCTAGATGATACTGCTTGCAGATCGTGTCATCAACTGGAAATGGCTCCTTTGCTCAAATTGTTCTACAATGGTGTGCTAGATTATCCATTCATTGAATTGCCTAGCAATTTGGAACATCGGTTAAAATTAGGCATAATATCTTTGTTTTGCTTGGGTTGGGTCTCTTACTGTGATAGCCACTTGCATCACATTGTGTGCAATGCAGTTGATGAACATAGGGTGTGTTTAGTTCACGCCAAAATTGGAAGATTGATTGAAATTGGAACGATGTGACGGAAAAGTTGGAAGTTTGTGTGTATGTAAGTTTTGATGTGATGGAAAAGTTGAAAGTTTGAAGAAAAAGTTAGGAACTAAACCAGGCCATACTACCTGCATCCTAGCTAGTGGTTTGTTCTTCTATCAGCATTTTTTCCTTATGAATAAAATGGTATGCCAAGCCACTGACCATTAAGCATTGCATATGAAGCCCCAGGCATACTTGTAGCGCAAATATCCAGTTATCCACTATATAAGGCAAATGATGATTTATACCAAAGCATTATGCAGGGCTGCTAAGCTGCAAGCTACTCCTATTTCAGACAGATCTGGCAAATGAGGTTTCTGTTTGTCGGTGACATGGGACCGGGGGTATCATGACTAGAGGCTTGAGGCAGACACAATCGCCCACGTGGCCTGGCACCCTCGGGGGACGTCGGGCCCGAGGGTGATGTGTTCGCCCTCCTCTTAGTCCCCCCGAGGGGGTCGGGCCGCACCCGCCTCGGCCCCGAGGGCCGAGGCGCCCCGACCCCTCGTGGGTTTTTGCTCCGCGTGTATGGGTTAGGTGAGCACAGTAGGGCTCACCTAACCACATTTATTGCGGTTTGGCTGAGCGTGTCACGCCGCATGTAACGCAGTGCAGTGCACTCATTTATCCGGTCTGTGACCAGTCACAGACCGGTCAGGTCGTGGGTTAGGTGGCGACAGGCGATCTGACGCACGCCTCGCCCCATCCCGTCAGGACGAGGGCTTCTAGGCGCTCGTCCCCAGCTGGAGCTAGCGTGTTACCTCCCAGAGATGGCACGTTAGTCCTAGTCAGATATATGCTAGGCTTCATCCTAACCATTACAGGCAAGATGTTGTGTGAAGAAGGGCGAACATGCAGATTGTTAAACTGACACGTGGTGGACAAGAATGACCGATTTGTGACCGGTCTGACAATGGTCATGTCATCAGCAGACAGCCATCTTCCCACGTCGCGCCTGCCTCCGGCGGAAGTGGAGGTAGGTATGGGCCGTCCCGTCAGAAGATCATTCGGACAATGGCGATGCAAATCTCCGTCCATTAATAAAGAAAAGTCAAATTGGAGGGAGAGATGGGGCATGTGGTATCCCCTTGAGATATAAAAGGAGGACCTTGCCCACTTTGAGAGGGGACGGGACTTTTCCAGATTGGGAACCCAGAACGAGGGAGAGGCTGGCTCATACTTTGTAGTTCCTTCATACACGAATCCACCAAAACACAGGAGTAGGGTATTACGCTTCTCAGCGGCCCGAACCTGTATACATCGCCGGCGTCTTGTATGGTTCCTGTCTCGCGAACCTTCCACAGATTGGGAGCTTAGAGTCTCACCCAGGGTCCCCGGCCGAACCGGCAAAGGGGGGCCAGCGCGGTCTCCCGGTGAGGAGCCCCACGCTCCGTCATCTGGCGCGCCAGGTAGGGGGCTCTGCGAGTGATCTTCTGAGCTCTTGCACTCTTTCGTGTGCGCCAAGCTTTTCCTATTCAGCCTCATGGCTGAGCAAGCAAAGGCGCACGACCTCTCTCCGAGTGTGAGTGGCGACGACGGGGAGCCGAACCCACGCCGTCGAGCTCGTACTCCACCGCCCCCTCCACGCCAAAGTCCTAAGCGGGGGGAGGCGCTCGAGAGGGCCGAAGGATCCGCGACTTCGACATCCACAGGAGGTGGAAAAGAGCGGCGAGATGGGGAGCGTCGTCTCCTCGTCTATGGTGACGGCAGCACGCCCCAGGGCGCGCTCCAAGCTGCGGGCGCGCTCCTATGTCACCCGCCCGTCGCCCATGACCCGGAGTCTCCAGCCCAACGTTGGCTGGACGATGTGGCCAAATTGGTCATGACTGCACGGCAGCATCTAGATGCTGGTGGGCGGTCCTCCGCCACCAAGGCCTCTGGTGCTGCTACCACCGGCTCCGCGTCGTCAAGACGAAGGGCGCGGCGAGCGGCAGCCGCTGTTCGCCATTCGGCCACCACTCCTTCGTCGACTCCTTCGACCCGGGAAGATCTGCGTGGGGGGCCGGACGCCCGCACCAGCATCGAGCGGCGGCGTAATGACCGACGTGCTACCCACGCAACGGAGGGCGCTTCCTCGTCCAGAGTGTCACCTCAACACGGAAGCGGGAATCAGCCCTCCGTGCCCCCGGTTGGTGGTGTCGGCTGTAGAGCCTTTGTGGCGAGTCTTCGGAATGTCCGTTGGCCCCCAAGGTTCCGGCCCACCATCGCCGAAAAATATGATGGCAGCGTCAACCCCGCCGAGTTTCTCCAGGTCTACACGACCGGGATTGAGGCCGCCGGGGGAGACGACAGGGTCATGGCGAATTTCTTTCCCATGGCCCTGAAGGGGCAGGCGCGGGGTTGGCTAATGAACTTGCCACCCGCGTCAGTCCACTCCTGGGAGGATTTGTGCCAACAGTTCACCATGAACTTCCAAGGCACGTATCCGCGCCCAGGTGAGGAAGCGGACTTGCACGCAGTACAGCGAAGGGACGATGAGTCACTTCGCTCGTACATTCAGCGGTTCTGTCAAGTCCGCAACACCATACCATGCATCCCTGCACACGCGGTGATTTACGCGTTCAGGGGGGGTGTGCGGCACAACCGCATGCTCGAAAAGATCGCCTCCAAGGAGCCCCAGACTACCGCGGAGCTTTTTCAGCTCGCGGACCGAGTGGCTCGCAAGGAGGAGGCCTGGACTTGGAACCCCTCCGGTTCCGGTGTGGCAGCTTCGGCCGCCCCCGGATCCGCCGCTTAGACAGGGCGGCGTGACAGGAGGAGGAAGAAGAGGTCAGTCCATTCCGACGACGAGGGTCATGTCCTCGCCGAGTCGCCGTCGAGGGCGCTTCGCGGGCCACCCAAAAGGGGAGGCCTGCGAGCGACAAAAAGAAAAAGGCCGGCGCTCCCAGCAGGGAGCGCCCAACCGGCAAGTGGTGCACCGTCCACAACACTTCCCTTCACGACCTCGCGGACTGCCGTGCAGTCAAAAGTTTGGCTGAGCGGACGAGGAAGTGGGAGGAGGAGAGGAGGCAGGAGCGCCGAGAGGGCAAGTCCCCGGCGGTTCCTTCCGGCAATCGGCGAAGTGAGGCCAAGCAGAAGGCCCCTGCCGAGGACATCGATGACGGCGATGATGACCTAGGTTTCCAAGAGCCTGGGGCCACCATTGCCACTGTCGATGGGGGAGCGTGTGCTCACGTTTCTCGCCGGAGCCTCAAGGCCATGAAGCGAGAGCTTCTGGCCGCGGCCCCTACTCATGAGGCGACGCGCCGGGCGCGGTGGTCGGAGGTTGCCCTCACCTTCGACCAGACCGACCACCCACCGTGCGTTGCCCGGGGAGGACAGATCGCAATGGTGGTTTCCCCCACTGTTTGCAACGCGAAGTTGGGGCGTGTCCTCATTGATGGAGGAGCAGCCCTCAACATCCTTTCCCCCGCAGCCTTTGACGCCATCAAGGCCCCGGGGATGATGCTCCGGCCGTCCCAGCCGATCATCGGTGTGACGCCGGGGCACACTTGGCCGCTAGGTCATATCGACCTCCCGGTCACCTTCGGTGGACCCGCCAACTTCCGCACGGAGCGGGTGAACTTTGATGTGGCGGACCTCAGTCTGCCCTACAACGCGGTCTTGGGGAGGCCCGCGTTGGTAAAGTTCATGGCGGCGGTTCACTACGCCTACCTCCAGATGAAGATGCCGGGCCCCGATGGCCCCATCTCTGTCCATGGCGACCTCAAAGTCGCGCTCGCTTGTATGGAGCAGCGCGCGGACCGCCTCGCCGTCGTGTCCAAGCCCGAGGGTGGCGACGAGAGGCTTGGCACATCCGCCCCCGCCGCCCCGAGGCAGCGGATAGTCACGTGCGATGAGGTCCCGGTCAAGGAGGTTGCCCTGGGCGACGGCCCGTCCAAGACCACACGGATCGGTGGTCTTCTGGACGGCAAATAGGAAGACACGCTCGTCTCTTTCCTGCGGGCAAACGCTGACGTCTTCGCATGGAGACCGGCGGATATGCCCGGGGTCCCCAGGGAGGCGATTGAGCACCGTCTCGCCGTACGGCCGGGCGCAAGGCCGGTCCGGCAGAAAGTGCGGCGGCAGGCCCCGGAACGTCAAGCCTTCATCCGCGAGGAGGTGGCGCGACTTCTGGAGGCCGGATTCATCCGCGAGGTCATCCATCCGGAGTGGCTGGCGAACCCGGTGGTCGTTCCCAAGGCGAACGGCAAGCTTCGGATGTGCATCGACTACACCGACCTTAATAAGGCATGTCCTAAGGATCCTTACCCCCTGCCTCGCATAGATCAGATTGTCGACTCCACAGCGGGGTGCGACCTTTTGTGTTTTCTAGATGCATACTCTGGTTACCATCAGATTCGCATGGCTAGGGAGGATGAGGAAAAAACTGCGTTCATTACCCCCATAGGAACTTATTGTTATACAACAATGCCCTTCGGGTTAAAAAATGCAGGTCCTACTTTTCAACGTACTACTCGAATTTCTTTGGGTAGCCAAATAGGACGTAATGTTGAGGCTTATGTCGATGACTTGGTTGTAAAGACGCGTAACCAAGAAACCTTACTCTCGGATCTAGCGGAAACTTTTGAAAGTCTCCGCTCCGCCCGCATAAAACTGAACCCCGATAAGTGCGTGTTCGGTGTACCTGCGGGCAAGCTTCTCGGGTTTTTGGTCTCTGCCAGAGGCATCGAAGCCAACCCCGAGAAGATACGA